GGAGGCAGTATGACCTCTGAAACGTTGGTAAACATCGACCAGACTACACAGCACAACAACCCAGAAGACAGAAATCTTCATACTCATCGCCCTGATGATGGAGGCAGTATGACCTCTGAAACGTCGGTTAACATCGATCAGACTACACAGCGCAACAACCCAGAAGACAGAAATCTTTGATTTAAGTTGTTAATTATAAAAATAAAATAAGTAACCTGTAAGTTGAGAGCACGCAGTCGTAATTATGATAGTTAAATTATTATCGATACTGTCTTGTTTTGTCCCTAACAGTGTGACTGTGTCCAATGGAAACAAAATTGCGTATAAAACACGTAAAAACGTAGGGAGTTGACTCCAGCATCGCATGTACCACCCCATACGCATGTCAAAACCATAACATATATTGAATCAGCATTTCAGCAATGACGTATAAATCTGTTATCCGGCGTGGCAGCCTTCACATTGAAATCCACTGTGAAATCCAAAAAGTAAATAATATCGGACGTGCGGGATTTTCCGTCCCTCATAATACGTAACACAGTGTGTGTTGTTTTTACCCTTCTTTCTGATGTAAAGATAACAGTGGAATCTGGCACACGCATCTGTAAACAGCCTGTGGGGAGAGAACGGTAGCTCGTAAAAATATCCATAATTAATCAATCTCATTCAGGATATTTTGTTGTTCTTTTAATCCAGTTTAAGCCAGATGCAAGGTGTTATCTTCATAGAAGCTTATGAATATGTTAAGCGGGTTTTGTTGTACGTGATACGTGGGATTTTATACTGTCATGTGCAACAGACAGCTAGAAAATTATACATAAACATGCATTTGGATGATACTGCTTTGCTTTGCAGTAGTCATGTATGTCACTCTAGCATTTATACGCCAGCAAAATTATGAGACGTATTGATAATTAGAAGAGTAGAAATGCTCTCTCTGGTATTTTATATACCTCGGTGATAATTTAGTGCAGATAAAATCTGTTATTGCTAAACTATTCGTACTGTGGACACTGCAAATTTTATTTCACAATCAAATAGACCATTTTCCTTACAGAATCTATAAAATTTTATTTCACAATCAAATAGACAATAGACCATTTTCCTTACAGAATCTATGATATATAAAATAACAAAGAAACAGAGATAAATACAATATTTTTATTTTCCGTCTATACACAAACTTAAAATAATGTTGTTTAAAATTATCTAAAATTATAACATTCTCAGTAGACACTGCATCTTGTTACATTTTTTGTATCGACGACATGTTTCAATGTGTATCACATCATCATCAGGTCTATCAATTTTAATATATTTTAAAAACTGTTGTACATTTTGCGTTGCGTTTATTGATTATTTTAATTTGTTTAATTTTAAGTTTTTTGTCTCTTCCTTTTGGTTTGGAGGTTGTACTTGGATGTTTTATATCTGGTTGTAATTGATGTAATCAATAAACGCAACGCAAATGTACTACAGTTTTTTAAAATATATTAAAATTGATAGACCTGATGATGATGTAATACACATTGAAACATGTCGTCAATACAAAAAATGTAACATGATGCAGTGTCTACTGAGAATGTTATAATTTTAGATAATTTTAAACAACATTATTTTAAGTTTGTGTATAGACGGAAAATAAAAATATTGTATCAATAAAACACAAACATGACGCAATTAAGATATAAAAAAGAGAGATAAATACGTCACGTGGATCTTTATAATTTTTTTTTCTAATTTCCTTAAATATTTATTACATCGAAATAGTTTTCAAGTAACATTTATTGGTTTTAATAAAACGAAGTTTTTATTAAATAAGATGTCTTTTATATTATACATTAATTTATTAAAAATTGATCTTTTTTAACAAAATAGAATGTGCTCTACGTAATGAACCGATGTGGATAAAAACACAAATTTCCCTAAGAATATTTGCTACAGATCCACATTTTATTGATATTTTATAAAATTAAACTTGCGACTCCATAATGTGTTTATGTAATGCATTCTGAACCTAAAGATTGCCCAGTCGTTGAGTAGACATGTTATCTGTGGAAATATATAAAAAAACTTATTTGCATAAATTTTCCACAGTACATTGACATGTTTGAGTGTATATATATCATTCTGTGCGCCATATTTCGCTCGACGCCATATTCTGAACTATAGCCAATCAGTTACATCTCCAGATGTGGTAGTTTCCCTCGTGCTGCTCGTTTTTGTATGTACGCGGTTTTCATTTTTAGAAACACCCGCTACTTAGAACTGTCTTTTCCTCGTATTTGAGGCAAGTTTTAGGTCTCATGTTTGTCGCGGTTAGAACAGCAAAGTGCACAGCGCGAATTCTTGAAAATCTATTAGTCGCTTAGCGTGTTAAACAGTTCTCCGTCTGTTATGAATTCCTATCTTAATTATTGTTTCAGAACGTTCTGGATAATAAATGTGTCATACCTGTGCTAAGTTTATTATAGGATCCATTTAAACACATTTTAATTTCATTGATATAATTTCATCTACATATCGAGTTAGCCCTTAAAAGAGAATGTTGAATAAAATTTTGTATGTTGCAAGATCTTTGAGCTCCTGACAAACGAGAAGTCGATTCTGCTTCTGGTCCTCAGACAGGATGCGTCGCATGTGGAGTTCTTCCTTTAGAATCAGCTGACAGGTCCCATAGCCTATCCCAACAATGTCGCACAAGTCGGTGATGGTACGACGTCGATCTTCGTGAAGGGCCTGCCGAATCTTCGTAACATTTTCGGGCGTTGTGCCCGAAGATGGTCGTCCAGAACGCTCGTCATCATCAACAGAGGTTTGGCCATTTTTAAAACGTGAATGCCACACAAAAGTTGGTGCACGACCCATTGCGGACTCCCCAAATCCTTGCTTTAGCATTTCATAGGTTTCCATAGCCGTTTTGGCGAGTCTTTGGCAAAAGTTGATGCACACGCCATTCCGAAATCGCACTACCAAAACGCCCGTAACTAAGAAACAAATGCTAATTCGATGATGCCGGCTGGCACACTGATTCACTATGAATGTAGACCGCACCCCCTAACGGCAGAAGCTCGTACTACATCCGGTTCGCCCTCTATTGACACAGTGTTGAAACTTTCCGATCGCACCTCGTATACTACTTAAATAATTTCTGCCGGAATTTGATCAGTGCCTCGCGATTTATATATGCTCAAATTTTCAGTAATAATTTTAACCTCAGGTACTAGTGGCTCTGTATACGTAACATCGTTTTTCTCGTGTACCTGTAGTAGCCAGCAGATCACAATTCTCGTCTT